TATATATATACTTGAATGAAATTTCCAATCAGCTACAGCTCATAACTCATCATCTTTACAGACTAGACAATTTATTTCTCTTTAGGGGTTAATAATGGTTCAGTTTCTTTCTTTTTCTTTTTCTCCAGACATAAATCGCATTTCCTTCAGCCAGTTTCTTATAGTTCAGGTTCAAAAATCTAGTCTTGCTGATGTTCTTTTGCTTTCTTGTGTGCTTTCTATTTTCCAAGCTTATTTCTTTGAATGTTTTATGGCCTGACACTTTGATGTCTCCCTTGGTCTACCGAGATGTTTCCCTTCAGTCTTTATTTGTTATTTCCTTCTTTTTAAGAGCTTCTGTCGCCCCCCCAGGTGGATTTCTGTCTTAAGAGTTTTATAGTCCTTTCCACTGCTCAAACCGACTGTTCTCTTGTTGAAGCCGTGTTTCTTTCTAAAGTTCAATCACTTTTAAAGCAGAACCATTTGCATAGATCGAATTAGTTAGCAACAAGAAGAAAATATGTTTTACAAAGTACTCATTCAACAACACTTTACAATATTTTATAATTTTTTTGTTTTTTACTTTCATCACTAAAATTACACCTTTATTTAATAGCCTATAAAACTATATAACAATAGTTTAAAAGAAATCCACATACATGGTTGTTGGCATTGTAATTCTGCCCAAACATTCAAATACTTTTGAGCCCTCAGCTGTGTGAGGTTTTAATATAAACATGTCCATAAATCTGGGAAAGATTAAGATGTTTGTTTCAATATTTCATACAGATTTTTCATTTATTTCCCTCAAATGCTTTAAACCATCCTCTCTATCTTTCCATCTGGTTCTATGTTCAAGCGTAAGCCCTTCATATCAATATTGCACTGATAATGTCCTTCAGCTTTCAGTATTTTCTTTTTACTTTCTCTTTGTTTTTTTTTTCCATCAATGTCCCTGAACCACCTATTCACCGGCTGTTCTTTTGCTTTGGTTTTTAATTTCCAGCCTAAATAACCAGAGAGGCGTCCTTTCCTCCTCCTGCGTCGGTTTCCTTTAATCCCTGGAGTTCCTTTGCCTTGAGTCACAAAAAAAGACGCTGAAGGTCTCTGGAAGGTTGTTGCGTTTCCCCCTTTGAATGTTTCTGAATTTGAATTGACCCTCATGGTTTACCGTATTGATTCGTGCCACACATGCCACCGAGGTTTGAACTGTATGAGCTGTTTCTAAGGCACAGCAGCAGGTTCTTAAGAGCTGCAAATCCGTGATTATGTAAGACATGCTTACAGATGCCAATTTCATTTGTCTTCATTTTCGCTGCTGCTTTCTCTGATTTAGATTAGATTTGAGCTGCTTTTTGCTCTTTTGCTTTCTTGTTTTCATCTCTCTGTCTTCATCTTGCCTTGTTTTGTTTAACAAAACACAAATATTGAGATTCTCAAACATTTTCTATTTTGCAAACTCATTTATGTGAAATTTCCTTTCTAAAGATTATACCTTTTGCTACACAGTAACATATTTAGATTTTATTTAGTCTATTAGAGCAAGGGTGTGCACATCTAGTCCTAAGAGCTACCATCCGGGAATTTCAGTTTCAGGTGTATTTGAGAAGGATTCCAGGATGGTTCCTCTGAGGACTGGGTCTGAACTTCCGCTCTCTAAAAGCAGAGTGGTTAAAAAGCTGTCGAAGAACTCCTAAAGGAAGTGAATGAAATAATTTCCTACAGCCAGTGGCATGTTCTGCCTCAGTGCGCTGAGAACTACAGCAGAGGTGCATTCAGAGGAGTAAGGATTATCCTGTAAGCTACGACATGTATTGCATTACACTAGTTTGCTGCAGATTTCATTGGAACACAGTTTTTTTGATAACTTTGACATAATAAGGCCACTTATCTTTGACTGGTCTGTGTAAGGCAGCTGAAGTTCCTTAAATGAACTGCTTGTTTTGCAGTTAAACTAGCTTCAATTTTTAGGGAAAATCATTCATTTTCTTGATGAATTCCCAATTCTGTTGGTGCTTCAACCGTCTAACCCAAATGTTTTCCCTCTGAAGAAGCATAAATATGTTTGGATTTTCTGAGACTCAAACCTATGATTATCCGGGATCTGCAGTAAAACCACAGTTTCAATATCGGCATTGGCTGTTACAACCTGAATGAACAACCTGCTGCAAGATCAGCACCCCCACCCTGACTGATGTTTATAGCTGCATAACCCTAATGACTGCTGCAGAGAAGCTCTGTAGCCACTCTGCATGTTTAGAAGCGATACCAGCTAAGCATAGCAGTGGCTGCATCATGCTTCGTTTTTTTTCTTCTTCTGTTTTTCAACTTTCCTTCAAAACCACTTTAAATAGCGTTGCTTAATGAAACGTATACATTTTTGATATTCCAACAGGACATCGATCCCAAACAGGTATTTAACTTGTTTTGGAATAAAAGTGGGCTTATCTTTGGCTTCTGAATGTACTCACCAGTGGAACTTTTTTGTTGTTAGCTTCAGCTTTCCTAATAAGAAAAGAGATGATACCAGAACCTTGATGTTTGCTTAAAAAAAAAAAAAATCATCCCATGCTTGGCATTCAACACAAAATTAAGGGTGGCTATCTTGCACTGGTTTATTAGAAAAATCAGTAGTAAGGTCAAACCTGTGCAGCAAGTTCATAATCTAGACCTGTTTCAAAGAGATATTTTATTTTTGCTCCTTGTTTAACTTATCTAAATTAATAATAAAAAAAAAAGATTTCCACACGTAGAAATATAGATTTTTTTTTCCATCTCACTATACTTTGTTTTTCTTTTTCTTTTTTTTAGCCCAAGCAGCGCACATCCCTGTCTTCCTCTCTGGATGTCCAAAGGCCAGTCAACCACAGCTGTGAACCCAGTGAGGTGAGCTCTTCCCTTGGCTACGCCAGCTTCAGCACCAGTCCCCCTGCCAGCCCTCCTCTCAGCCCCAATCAGGAGGACTCTGCAGGCTCCAACGACGACTGTCAACTCACAGGTAGAACAGTGGCTTTAATATTTCCCTTCAGCTTCACTTCGTCTCATTAGAGGATGCATAGACATCCTAGAAAGGTAGCTTTCATCTTTGTCCAGTGCTAAAATGTATCTGCGATAATCATACTACTGAAGAATGTGAAAAGGATTGACAAATTGTTTGGAAAAAACATTCAAACTAGTAGATTCAATATATTTACCATGACTTGGTGCTCAGGTGGTTTTCAGTCAAAAGTTTGAATGACTTTTAGCTCTAAGGGTGAGACATTGTTTTTGCTGCTGCGGTTGTTCTTTCACTGCATCTTTTTTCGCCTGAGTGAACATAGAAGCTAATCTCTTTCAGCCTAAGGACCAAATGAGACTTTATATCTTTTGCCCTTGGTGTCAAGGAATTGAAATCGTATTTCTGATGCTGTCACACAGGAGGGTAAGCCAAAGAGGCAGGCAAACACCTCACAGGCAGAAATTAGATCTCAGGGGGAAAAAAACAACCAGTCATAGCTGGACTTTCCTTTCAGATTGGATAACTCGGTGGGGATTTGGAGAAAAACTGTTAACCCCATTTCACGGAAAAACATTTTTAGTGTTGTTAGAAAATAGACTTCGTATTGTTTTAATTGGATAAAAATAAAATGAGTTGTGATTCTTGAGTTTCTCTTAATCTGATTGGTTCTTGTATAAGATTTGCTGTAAGGTCTCTTGGTTGCGATTTATAACAGGTATGCATTTATCCTACTGTATAGCTAACGTCAACTACCAGCATGCACTTCCTGACTTTTGAAGCATCTTTTTGTTTTAGTTCAAATTTAAACATCATTTGAAGCATATTAGTCTAATATCTTAAAGAAGCACCTTTGCTATAGCAAGACGATGAAATATCTTCTCTTAAAATAATCATTCATTTATCATATTTGACCTGTAAGAGGTTTGCTTTCATGTAGTACTGCTTTATATATATCATATAAATAGAACTATTATAAATAATATAATACAATATTGTTGGTAAATAAAAAGAAGACTAAAAGTAGTTCAGAAAACAAAAACTCTGCTAAAATGTGTATGAATTTTGTTAACTAAAATGAGACGAGAGAAAATAAGTTTGTAAATTTTTGTCGTGTTATTATATTTTTCTGTTTACCTCACCTGTGCGTCGCGCTGCTCAGTCCGCTGACGCAGGCATTGTCACTCCCTCAATCCCCTTCCTGAACTCCAAGCATTATTCAGATGCAGTGGGACAAAACGGTTTGAGTGAGTTGGAGTTATGGCCGCGTTTTATTGGAAGATCAAGAAGAAATGATATCCGGACAAACTTAAATTACAACCAGGTGAAAAACAATGCAGAACATGTAATGGGTTCTCTTCTTTCAATGGGAGTAAGTTTAGGACTAGGATGTTAACTCAGTTTGGATTAAGATTAGGGATATGTTGGTAATGGTTAAACCTGGGTTAGGCCATAAAATGAATATAAGTCAATAAAATTTCCCTATAAATCATAAAAACAAAGCTGTGTATGTGTGCGTGTATTATGTTTGTGTATCCACAACAACACACATAAATATGGCTAATTAGCTCTAACCAGGCGCTAATAACAGGATAAGAATTTGGTTTTATCTATACCTTACCAGGAAAGCATTATATATAAATTGTATTAAACAGAATAACCTTTAAATCCTTGACTTAAGCCAGACTATAGTGTCTTCAGTTTTCATCAACAACACTAGACAACAATATCCATGAGTTATTCTGACTAAAATAAGGCTATAATGATCAGAGTTTTAGTCGACTAAATAAAATAGTTTTAATGTGACTAAAATTAATAAAAACTAAAAAGACAGTTTGACGCAGAGACTAAACTAAAAATAAAACAGGCTGCCAAAAACAAGCTGTTCTTAATGATCCTCTCCAGATTTTTTTTAAAGGATTCTAAAGTAAAACCAAATGCTTTATTTCAGCCAACGCTTTTAACATTCAGGGATCTGCTTCCTTTGAGATGTGCCTGGAAAACCATCAACGTGATGGATCCAGAATGTCATCCTTATCAAATGGATGAACTAACTCTGCTGACTTGTTTTAGTTTGAATCCATAAATGATGGAGGCCTTCCATTTAAAGGTTGAACCAATGTGCTCTAATCACCTGGGAACCCCTGCTTCTGTTCATGGCTATCTCATAGTTATTCCTCCTTTGGATCCCTTCTTTTCTTTACAACGCCAAGGCTTCTCCCTTCCATCTCTTAGAAACCAGAGACCAAGATATTAAAACTCTACATTAAACTCTGAATTGTAGAATATGCCGGTGAAGATTCTCCATCATCCAGGTCAGAGTCATTTCAGCAAAGTTAAAAAAGTTAAAAGACAACTGACTTGGAGACTAACTACCAGCCTGAAGGGACCAGTCCACCTTTATTTGTGTGATAGTCGTTTCTTTGGACTTAAAAGAGCTGAAGAACATCCCTGTTTCTCCATACTTGGCTGTTTAAATCCCAGTGAAGGTGAAGGTCATGGCCTAAAGACCCTGACAGAATATTAGCTAATGTATGTTTTTTCCTTGCCGTATCTTTGGTAGTCTAATTCTTTTAAATCTTCTGGTTGAACATGCATTATGTCAGATTTATCGGTACAATGTCCGCAAGAACACAAACGCACCTTCTCTTGCAGTTCTTTAAGGATAGAACAACAATAATCAGTTTGATTGTCAAAATCTTCTGATCAGAAGTTTAAAAAAGAATTTTAAAAATAATCTGTGTCCTGCAGGTTATATTGCAGTTATGTGTGTAATGTATGCTTCTTTGACATAGTATTCTCTCTGTTGTATTTTCTATGAAATTATTGTCTAATAAAAGATAAAAATAGGCTATTAGGAGTAAGTTATTAATCTAAGGAAACACATTTTATAGGTCTTGTAAACAAGATTCTTTTATAAATAAAAGTTCAGCTAAAAATCAGATAATGAGATTGTTTTCCAAAGGGAAGCATTATTATCTTAAAATCGAGGTTTTAAAAACATCAGCAAAAAAAGTTGTTGGTTCAGTGGGGAGTCCTTTCTGCTGTCACAGCAGATGAAGATTTGTTGGTTCCCTCTAATGATGCTTGTTCGCCCTGCTGCATTTCAGAGTTTCATCTCTAAATGAAATGAAAGCAGTGATAAACGAGCTGGTTTCATCTACAGCTTAATTATTAAGTCAGTCATCTATCAGCGGCACAAATGAGATCTTTAGTACATTTATCAAAAAAAACAAATGATAATAAAAACAGATATTCTCTCTGATCAGGTGCGTTCACTGTCAGATGTACTTCCGACCTTGATGTCATTAATGTCATTTCCTTGTCAGGCTGCTTTGTGTTACCATAGCGACGGGAGTCTTGTTGTTATAGCAAAGCGTTGTCCTTGGTTACGCTCGTTAACTAGTGATGTAATCATTAGTGCTTCCGTCCCTCACCTGGCTTTCAGTCCAGCTCACATCCTCTGCTATCAGCCACAAACAGAGGAGTTGGAGCAGGGGAGGTCCACCCATCAGGAGGGTGTGTGTGTGTGTGTGTGTGTGTGGATGCTTGTTTCATCCTGCTGCAGTTCAGACGCCCTGCTGGACTTTGATCGCTGTGGTGCCTAAAATGAAAGAAGCGCATCATCAATCCACAGGTGTGTGTGCAGCAGACACACAACGACTCTAAACGAGTGAAAGCTTGAAACATCTTCAGCTTTTATTCCCACTGAAGGAGTGTTTTGGCAACAACGTGTTATTTCCCTCTTGAACCTTCTCCCCTTTTGGCTTGAGGCTGATGTCTGCTGAAGAGAAAATATTGCTCAAAGTCAAACATTTTCTTTTCTTGCTTTCAACAGCTTCTTTTCTGTAGGACTAAATAAGAAAGAAGTCCCAATTTACCAGCTCCTAAACCCTTGTAACCTGTAATGGCATTAATGTGTCTTTAGTGGATTGTTCTGTGTTCAGTGAACGGGGTCTATGAATATATAGATATAGACAGATTTATTTGTCATTTTGTTTACACGTGTAAAACAAAAGGAAATTTCATTTAGAACAGCTCTCTGGACAATTTCATCTTTATTAAAAGTGCATCCTTGAAAAATAGTAAAAAAATAAATAAATATGCTAAACTGACTGTGGTTACTTTGTAGCTTGGTGTTCCCTGATTCTATCCTTCCATGATGGATAAAAGGGAGTAGAGCTCCACCAGCAAAGTAAAATAAACTACGGTAATAGACTTTCTTTAAGGGTGAAAATCAGAGCATCATCTACCTTGATCTGATGTTATTGTCCATTTTTGGTGTCTGTGTCCAACAGCAGACACGAAAGAGAAAGTAGAGTGCAACAGAAAAACAAAAAAATTACATGAGAAATATTTGGATGTCTTCTGAGACACAGTGACCGATTTGTCCAATAGTTGTTTTTTTATATAATTTTTTAAAATGTGCATAAAACTTGTTTGTCTTTGCATTGTCACGTAGTCTGAAAAGTTTAAAAATTGTAAGCATTTTCCTCTAAAATCTAACTTTTAATCTATTCAATCCTTCCTTCTGTCAGTTCATCCATCAATCTGTTCATCTATTATCAGTTTAACCCAGGGATGGAGAGATGCAGACTGAGAGAATCTGGTCGGCAGGAAGAATAAAAAAAGTTAGAAATTCTAAAAAACATGAATTTGTTGTTTGTTTTCTAATTATCCACTGGGGGTGCGCTATTTTAGTCTAAGACCATACACATCACTGGGACAGCCCAGACAGCAGATGGCAGCAATGCACCTTCTGCTGGTATGTTTTATTTTTTATTTGTTTGTGACCCGCTTCCTTGTTTTCTGCTTTTCTTTACATTAACATTAGTTAAAAAAAAGTCTTTATCAAAAAGGAAATAAGTGGAAACAGGATTTTTTTCAAGAACATTTCCCCAGGAAACCTTTGTGCTTATATGCAACAGATGACTTTGTTAAAGTATCTGTTCTTGTAATTCTTTGCACTAGAATAAAATAAAAACAGGGAATCTTTATTCATC